ATAATGACATGACGTGATATATCCCTTTGAATTTCTGATAGTCCTCAAAGAAATTCTTCCAATATGCTTCTTTGCTTTTATGAATTCACACATTCTTCGTATAAATTATAACTTGTATTCTTTTCTCGAGAAGATGGAGTTTGACCCATGGAGTATGAATTTGTGTAATAATTTGAATAGAGGTAGGGACTTTGATTTTAAGTTAAAATTTGATGAAAGTCTCTTGTAACTTAATCTTAAATAGACCATGATATAAATTTGAACTCCTTGAATGATGGATTCATCCCTTACATCTTGTATTCCAAGTGAACCATATGCGTAACTTTGGATACTCAACGCGTTTTCACTTGAATTGGATAACACTTGCTTTCCTCTCCCTTGAATAAAAATTCTTATGATGGTTTATGGTGGGCATTAATCAAAGCTCATGAAAATGGAAAGCGCCACATCTTGATTTTGAACTTTGTAGAAAGGAACTGATTTTCCAACAAGAAATTTCAATTTATTAAGGTCGTCGGATCTAGCTTCATGAATAAGAACAAAGTCTTGCTTAGGAAATCCTTTGGAAGCAAGGACACAATTTGTAATGCCACACATCGCACATTCAATCAACTTCCCCCTCGACCATGCTCAAGATCAATGGGCAGAAATACTCTAATCAAATCAAAAACTTCCCTTGGGGAATCTTTGGAGAGAAAAAAAAACCTTATACTGATTAAGACCATAAGTAGGAGGGCATATCCTTCTTTTATGTCCACAGTAGTTCAAACGTATCTTTTCTAAGTAAGTAGAAACTTGATGATCATACACACAGAGCCTTCATGGCCTTCAAATCTTCTTCCGTAAGCCTACACGAAAATTGAAAACTAAATAAAATGGTTAGTTATGCAAGGATGATTGATTTAAGATGATATGCCAATGATCAATGAATCTAAGGGTAAAATTTGGGGTATAACAGTTGCTATTACAAATTTTACAATGTACTTTTAATATTCTGTATAAACAATGTAATTAAAAACAACAGCTTATCCACCTCGGTTTTCTTCTTGGCCGAGGGGATTATTAAGATTTTTTTTACTATTCGCCATTAAACAAATCTTTCTCGTTCATTTAATGTTTATCAATGCTCAAGAATCTTCCATTAGTGATCCGCGTGAAACCTAAGGGGCGTCCGTTATAAAAGCATTCTGAATATTGAAAATCCAACCTAAATGAAACATGAAACGCTTGAAACATAAAGACGTTTGGAAAAGTTCTCTAAGATGGATTGTAAGAGCAGGAAATGACTTGGATTTAAGGTTTGTTTTCTTAAATATTTATTTGAGCACAAAATCAATTTGAATATTGATTTTATTTATCTAACCTTTATTTTGCTTTGCTTCATAATTAAATGCATGCAAGATCCGAAGAGACAAATCTTGCACCCAACATTTGTTCTTCTCCAAGACTCAATGATTCGAAGATCTAAGATCTAGATCTTCAGGGAATTTGATTTTACCTTGTTTTCTAGGGAATTTGACTTTTATTTTAAAAAATATAATATTTTGGGTCAACAATATAATATTCTATGTAAACAATGTAACAATTTTTAATAATAATTATCTAATCCCTCGATTTTCAAGATAAACCGAGATGAAATATACACTAGTTTTGAAAATAATAAAAGTGTTGTTGCTAGAGTTCGAACCCATGTGCATTTAACTTTACCTCTCGGTTTTAATAAGACCGAGGTGATAAGTTGTGAGTATCATGTCGCCCTCTATTACCTCGCTTCTATAGCCGATATATTATGCATTTTGCGTCCGAGTTAACAAGTGTTTTTATAGTAGTGAAAGAGAAACCAACTTGATACGATATGAGTGGGCATCCAAATTGAAGTGAAGGGAAAACCAGTACGTCAAAAATGCACCCCGAAAGAAGCGAGGAAAATCGGTAGAAAATTATAAAAAGTGAGATGGACCTCAATCATAAGGATCCTCACTAGAAGAAAAAAACACTCCAAGAAATTGCCCCAATTCTAGGTGAAAGAGTCGAACCAGGGATTGTTTGGATTGGAAGCTAATGAGCATTTGGTTCTGGAAGTTGTCTTCAGAGGAACCCATCAGGTAGAATAGATCGAAGAATAACCCAAGATAAGGCTTTTGAGACTTGTATTCAACACACAGTTGGAATACCCTCATGTAAGCCCACGATCTTGGATGGAGCTCTGAGAGGGGGAAACTTTTATGTATTTAAGGACAACTACTTTGAAGTCAGAAAAAGGAAACTACAGTCCTATTGTTGTGAATAAACACTCGTAGAGATGGATCATATTGTCGTTAAAAGAACTACATATCCAATATTTCATCCCTACTAGAAGAGTCTGCCATGCTAGGGCATTTCTGACCATGATTCTAGCAGCATTTATCACAGCCTCAGTGCTCAGAACAGATGAAACGCCTTTTTATTTTTGCATCCATCAACCATGCTTTATCGCATATGGGTAGTCTTAAAGGTCCAAGTAGGCCATCGCGTCAGCATTGCTGGGTTCAGTGTTATTGGTACTGAGACAATGTTGAATATAATTTTTAGCATATTCTCTCCTATGTCAGTTGGCTTGTATTTCCTCCTCTATCAAGATGGGAGGGGGCATAGGAACCTCGACGCTGTTAACCTCTCTGTCGATATTTGACAAAGGGTTTCTAGTGAATCGGATGAAGAAACCTTTCTTCCAGAAAATCCCTAGGTACCTTCTTCAAATGAGAATCATCAGATAAGGATATGACTCTGGTTCCACATGATCATGACCAATAGGATGGAGATGAGAATCAGGGGATATCCCCATTGTCAAAACATAAGCAATATCACTCTCAGAATGTTTCGCTATGTCAATAATGCTATCACTTATTTGGCTAGAAAACAGGAAATGCTGAAGAAAAATCTTGGGTTCAAGGAGGTACATGGGGTGTGAGATTGATTAAGTAGAATGAATGAAAGAAGTAGAGATTTTGATTAAATTACTACAATTATTCTGATTAACGCTCTCAAGGGACAAGAAGTGAAGGTCTTTATTAAGGCAGTGAATATAAACAAACTCAAAAGACAAAAGTTACAAAAGGTTTCCAAAATGCTCAACTCCTCCTACTTATAGGTGAAGGCAGCGAAACGATCCAAATCAGATAAGGGAATGGGTTAGGGGATCAATGACTAGATTCCTTCTTGGAAAAACATGCAAACTTGAGTGCACTCAAGTGTACTATAGGCCTCTTCATGCCCTAACTAGTCACGTTAAGCACATGTCAAAATAAGACTATGAAACATTTTAATGATTGAATTGTCTTTAATACGCATGTTTCCCATTTCTTTTTCAAACTAATTTCAGGTGTTTCAGTTTTAAGCTCACATCGGACAACATCCTGGAGGCCGACTAACATCATTGGATGATTTCCCTGACTCCTTTAGTGCCCGAGAAAGCCTTGAAGTCAAACATTTTGAACCGACCAAAGGCACAAATGTCTAAGGCCTAATTCATCTTAAATCCACTCCACTTGACTTGAGGTATAAAATCAGTTCACACACAAAAGCAAAGTACATTATCTGATATCTACTTTTCACTACACTCATCTTGAATCTTGAACTGACTTCGACTTTGGAGTGCTAACCATGCAAGTCCACCTCGCGCAGTCGTGTTAGAGATCAGCATGACCGTTTCAAGATCATTAATTAATCAACTACATCCATTTATATATATATATATATATATATATATATATATATATATATATATATATATATATATATATATATATATATATATATATATATATATATATATATATATATATATATATATATATATATATATATATATATATATATATATATATATATATATATATATATATATATATATATATATATATATATATATATATATATATATATATATATATATAAAAGGAGACTCTAATTTTAACAATTGTTTAGTGGAATTTAAAGATTAATTTTGTATATGAGATAAAATAGTGAATCAAAATTATAATTAAACTTATGCATCAATTAAATTTTAAGTATCATACAAATTTCTCATTTCCCTTATTAACCTACCTTTTTCTATATCATCCTCTCCCACAAAGCTACATACATGCACTATATACTCCTCTGCAATTTCAACTACTTGTTCTATTGGGTCGACATACAAGAGCAATGAAAACATATCGAGAGAAAAAAAAGTAATAAAATAGGGTAGAGGAAGGCAGCAATTAGATAGAGGCAATAGGCTTATTTATTCCTCTCCTTATTTCTTTTTTAGACTTAACATTTTTGTGTTATTTGGTATCTTGCTCTGTCAATTATTTTCTTTTTTATGTATACTATTAGAGATACAAAAGTGATGTTTTTTTTTTTACCGCAATGTTTTATAAATATAGAAATTAAGACCCACACCATTATTATCCGACCTTTTCAATTCTTAAATAACTTTTTATTATTGAAAAACATATTATATATTACCCCATGTATTCACATTTTTTATATGTAGGCGGTTAAAATATGTCTTTGAAACTTTCAAAATTAAGAAGTGTTTTTGAGATAATGTCCTTTCATATACATTTAATTTCTTGAAATTATTAAAATTTTCAAGCCTATACTAAAATTTTAAATTACTAATACAAAGTAAATATTAAATACAACTTTTAAAGTAATAATGCTATTGGTCACAGAATTTAAATATATCATTGTCTATAACACATACTTATGCTTGTAAGTACAAAACACTGAAATAGACATCTTAGAGCAACGTCGAAAATTTTGATAAATCTTTATTTATAAGATAAACATAAAAATTGCTATTCAAAACTAAAAAGGAGCAGAATTTTTTTAATTGAGACAATTCACCCTAATGCTAAAGTGATATTAACATTATAGGAATCGTATCGAGCCATTGTACAAAATATGTCCACCTAGTTGAACCTTCGTGTTTGAACATTTTTGATTGGAGAAATTTAACAACTTTATCTATATCACGAAGCGGATGGATTGGAGTCACTGGGCGATTCTTTATTCTTATAAACCACGTCTAAATTAATAGTTACTAGTTGAGACAAATTCTGTAATAAAAAAAACAAATTTTTTCATTTCATACAAAAAAATACAAACAAATTAAGGGAAAGCGAAAAAACATAAAAGAGACATTTCCTACCAATAATATATCATTATATTCACACAAGATAACATTAAAATTGATAAATATTACCTTAAATGAGAAGTTACTAAATGAGTACTGCCCCGTAAGAAGTGGATCTGAAGGTGGAAACCTCCCGGTTAAACTATGACATTCATCCTCCTGTTTAGCAGATATAAAATATTAAAAAAATGAAATTGATATGACAAAATTGTCACTTATGACTTAAAAAGTAACTAATGAAACATATCATTATCTACTTAAAACTACGCCAATGAAATTAAGACTAGACAAATTCCATTTTAATTAGAATTAAAATATTATACTTATTTTATAATATCTTTTATATTAATGTAAAATATTTTATGTTGATACAAAATGGCATTCTTTCATCTTTCAAAGATACCGGGCCTTATAAAGACAAATGAAGGCTCTTATAAAGACAAATGAAATACAATGGACAATACCTAAATGATTAACATGGCCCAAAACAATTCATAAACAAAACTACTTAACAAACCCTCTTACGATCTCTATATCCTTAAGCCTCCCTTAATCCGCAAAAGGAACCAAGCTTCAATGGCTAAATAAGTATATCACCTAGTTGATCTTTACTGCTACAACGTTTAACCTCAATTATTTTATCCTTAGTAAGATCTCTAAGGAAAAGAACTTTAACACCAATATGTTTGCATCTTCCATGCATAATAGGATTCTTTAATAGTTTGATGGAGAAATTATTGTCACAAAAAAGGACTGAAACCTTCTTCTAATTTACCTTCATATGACTTCGAATATTTCTCAACCAAATTTTTTGATAGGCTAAAGTTGTCGCAGCTACAAATTCAGCCTCTATGGAGGGTAAATTGATTATGGGTTGCTTCTTAGAGGACCATGAGATTGCACGAGAGCCAAGCTTGAAGGCATACCCTGATGTGCTTTTTCTATCATCATTATCACCAACATAATCCAAGTCTGTCCAGCCTTGCATTTGCAAACATCTTCACTCTTATATAAAATACCAAGGCTCAAGGTACCTTTCAAATATCTCAAGTTCCTTCAAATAGATGCAACATGCATACCAGTGGGTTATTCCATGTACCTACCCACCAAGGATACTGAGAATGCAATACTAGGTCTTGTAGCTAATACATTAAGCACCGTATTTGATTGTAAGAAGTAGCATCTGAACTCTTTCCATTTTCATTTTTCACTAGTTTTCATTCCAAAAACAATTGGAATGCATACTTTGTTGCACCCTTCCATTCCAAATCTTGACAGAATTTTCATTTTTCACTAGTTTTCATCCCGAAACAATTAGACTACATATTTTGTTGCAGCCTTCCATTCCAATCTTGACAGAATTTATGTTGCATATTTTTGCTGACTTATGAAGATCCCATGCTTACCTTGATTTACCTTAATATCCAATAAGTACTTCATTTTGCCCAAATCAGTCATAGCAAACTCTCTTTTCATAGACCTTTTAAAATCACCAATCATCTGCAAGTCATTACTAATTTATATAAGGTCATCAACATACAAGCTAACAATGAGAATTCTGTCTTTTCTAGCATGATTGACAAACAATGTATGTTCATAAGGGCGCTTCTCAAAATTAGCAATGCAAAAGTAAGATCCTATCTTACTATACCAATCTCTTGGGGCTTGTCCCAAACCATACATGGCCTTCCTCAATTGATGCATCATGTTAAATTCACTTTTATGATAACCAAAACATTGATAAATGTACACATCCTCTACTAATTCCCCGTGTAAAAAAACACTTTTAAAATCAAGTTGATAGATAAACCATTTCTTGCTAGCTACAACTTCCATTATAGATCTTATGGTATTCCATCTAGAAACAGGTGAAAATGCTCATTTGAGTCAATAGTGAAATTCTAATCCTGATGGGGTTGATGTCTGACACGATGTTGGGACAACTGGTCCAATGTGATATATCAGTATGACAATAGTGAATAGTATCTTAACTTATGCAAGATGATGAAGCAGAAAAGTAATAAAAAAAACACAAGAAATCGGTAACCCAGTTCGGTGAAACCCACCTACGTCTGGGAGGCACTCTATCCAAGAAAGGAAATTTACTACTTCGAATTTGAATAATTAGTCTTATAAGAACCTTCAACCCCTATGAAGTTCTCTACGCATCTCCCTAATCCTATTGACTTTTTATTTATGTCTCCCACTAAATATGAGAACTCACTCGATTTCTTCAACCATTGAATCATATAACAAGTCTATTGATTGTTGAATTTACAACTCATCTAAGACAAATCAATTATACCAAATTACTGAAACACAGTGGTGTACAACAATGATTCAACACTAATCCAGTTATCATTAGCGTGGAATACAAGTAACACTTTGTTCACAAGCTCATAGACTTAGTGTCTTGGAACAAAACTTTACAATTCAAAAACCAAACAATATGCCTTAAGATATGAAAGGAGGTGCTAGAGTGGTGCATAAAGATAACACAAATAAAGACTCAAAAGATAAACTCTAACACTAGGTATCTTCAAAGCGTGTCCACCTCACAAGTGAGGTTTGAGTCTCCTTAAATAACAATTCAATTATGAGTTTTTCTCCTTTGGATTTCTGATTTAATTTCATCCAGAATAATAACAGATATTGTTTGATTTGATTTGCTCCATAAAGATAGCCAACAAAAGATATGACTTGTTATTAATTCAAAGTCAACTTTAAATCTCCATTTAAATTAATTTGATCTTCAACAGCTGTCAAACAAATCACACAAACGCATTACTGAAATATAGCAACAAATCTGACTGAACCTTAACCAGATTTTTGTTCTAAAAAAGCAACAACATTGGCCTGTTGAACAAGGGTCAAATGTTGCACACATGTTGGAACACCGTGTTCCACATGTATCCCTTCTACACTACAACTGCACTAACATCTGTCTGTTGACAACGACCAGATGTTGCAACACACCCTTCTTTACTACAAATACACTTAACATTTCTCTGTTGACATAGGCCAAATGTTGTAGCACACATGTTACACCAAAACATCCAAAAGAACTTTCTTAATATAAATCTTCTTTTTAGAGTAAATCTTGCTGGACCAAAACTTCCTTCAAGGTGCATTCAATCAAATCTTCTTTGACTGAAACAAATCCAAATCTTTTCCAATTGATTTTGGATTGACATCACATACTTCATACCAAAAGCAAACTTCTGCATCTTGAAGAAGTCAACACCACACCTCTTCTGAAGGACCGTGCTTATTGCTTAACTAGTTATGTCAAGAACTTTAGCTAAACAACTCTTGCTTAAATGGTTATGTCAAGAACTTTAGCTAAACAACTTTTGCTTAACTAGTTCTCTTAAGCACTTTAGCAAAATAACTCTTCTTAGCAACAAAATCAGATGCTGGAACATCTTGTTCCACATGTTTCCTAAAATACATATTGTACATATGTTGTTTTGCCTAATACAGCCAACCAAAAGGGTCTACAATCTCTCGCTTTGACAAATTTTGGCTAAAACAACTACAAGATGTGATCTTCATGAAGTAGCACAAGTAGCACACCATATCACCCAAAATAATCACAAGAGCAAACAACAACAACAGAAGTAGCACATAAGTAAGGTGATTGCTACATATAACATGTGATTGAACATCTTGTCTCATCCACACATTTCTCCCCTTTTTACCACAATTTGGAAAAGATATGAAAAGAACCACAAACAAAACAACAAGCTTAAGACTCTCGACCAACAATCAGAGAAGCAGTAGCACTCATTAGAATCATAGAGCCATAAGGCACAGGTTGCTACACACAATAGTCAATGCTCCTTATTAGACAATCATGCATTCACAATGTTATTCATGCATGAACACACAGTTAGAAGTAAGTCACAATCAGCAGCAAATACTACTAACACACAAATTGCTACACATAGTTAAGGTCTCGATGTCGGGTACGATGCTTCAGCATGTGTGCATACACAAATTGAGAACAAATAGTACCCAATATAATAGGTAGAACCATTCACACTAGAGTCAGCAGCATAAATTACCTTCACACCACACAGAGATTAGAGTCAATAGTTAGATCATACTACCCTACGCATAAAAGGTGGAGGCACCAACAACAGGTTGAGGTGAACCAGCTTCAATAATTATTCATCAAAAATCAGATCAATTAGTACATAGATGTTGGTTACGAGACTTCTTTCCCATTATTCAGCTTGTAACATATCCTCAGCACCCCATGTGGAATACCATCATCCTTAAACTAGAATAACAGGCTCTAGCACAGTCTTCAACAACTGATCATCATTATTTGCAGTTTTTTCTTCTTCCTCAGTTCCCCTTTCCTTGGTCATAATCTTGTTAATTGAGGGAACATTGTTTCATCCCAATCAATTAATAGTTGAAGGTGAAGGTCTGCCCTTTCCTCTATCTACATTTTTCTAAGCTCCTTGAGCAGCTTTTCATAGCTAGGACTATCATCAGTAATAGTATTCATTAGCCTAACAACTTTCATGTTTTCTTTGCAATCAAGAGTTTCTTTACCTAGCTCTCTTTCAGCTGTAATCCTTTTTTGAAGAACATACTTCCACTTCTGAACACTTGTTTCAGGATGAAATTTCACTTTATCCATGTGAGTAGAGGAGACATCCATATGAATTCTTTTCCCTTCAACCTTTCTCCTTAAGGTGGACGTAAAGTCTAACACATTTGCTACAGCAACCGTCTAATAACAAAGGCAGTCTGCTCATCCTTCCACTCAATCACCATCACGCCATACCTGCTGTCAGGCACATCCTGGTTGTCATCTTCATTACCATCTTTGAGTATTCGGTTACTCCAGAACAGTTAAGTGCAACAACTACCTGCAAGTATACCTTGAGAATCACATGTGTAGTCCTTCGTCTGCTTCACTTGAAAATCAAGAAAAAGGCTTACATCTTCTACCATGCTCATCTTAAAATCAGACTACATTTGTTGAACAGAATGCTCTAACACCTTAATTGACATCCTACACAACATGTTGTCTTCAACATAAATGTGAACTATCATCATATTCTCATTGCCTTCCAATTTGACATTCTCCATGTTGTTGATATCAGTATTAGATTCATACTAACTTTCACAAAGTCACCCTT